GGCCCGCCACTGTCGCAGGCGACCATGAGCAGAAAACTGCGCTGTACGCTGATTGATGCCCTGCACGCCCTGGATGCCGGTCCAGTCGTCGAAAGGTTCTCATCCCCGCTTAACTGCGGTGAAGAGGTGCAGTACTACTTCAGTGTCCACGCAGAAGACCAACTCTTCGGGGCAAACATAGATGCATTCTCTCAGCCATTTACAGGCCTCTCGATAGCACACCCGAACCCTGACCCCACCAGTGTCAAGAAGGCAGTAATGTGGGCAGTCGCAGGCGCATCACACACAATGACATCCGCACTGCCCACCGCCACACTACTCATTGTCCCGCACAGCCGAACTGGCCCCCACACGCAGCTACACAACACACCATATGTCTTCCAGCTCGCGCGGCTGAGCCGCGGTGAAGCGTGCAAGCTTACCAGCGGGACTGGAACTGACGGCCCCACCCCTGACTACAAGGGGGGCCTGGACCTCGTCATGGTGGCCAACGACACGGTGATCCGAGGACTAAACGCCCGATCCATGAAGGTGCTCCTATCCGAACTCGAAGTGATGGACGCCACCGGCCTCCCCAGAAAACATCTGCGACTGCGGGACATGTCCGCGGGTACTCACTGTGTCGGCACCCAACGACCCTACCCAAACAAAGTCGCTCAGGTCATGCGCAAGATGAATGCCTCAAAGCCGCCCAGACCAAGACCAACCACCACAGTCCCCCACTCGGACGGACAGATGCTCCAGCAGCGCCTGACAGCAGCTTTTCCCGGACAAGTACCACTCAGGATGGACCCGCACACTATCATCTGGATCGACGGTAGCTGTATTAAATCGGCTGAAAACGACGGCCAGAACAAGTTGGGTGCGGCTGCATACTGTGGACCCACCGGAAAAACGCTGCACATCGACCCAGTGGGCGAAGGATGTACAAATACCATTCAATGGGCAGAGCTGGCAGCAATACGTGTAGCTCTATCAACCCAAAGGGCGGTGAACATCACCTTAACAATTGCCACTGACTCGCAAGCCTCACTGGATCTTATCAAAAGAGCAGTAAACGATCCGAGTAAACTGCATATTTCCAAGCACAAAGCCTTACTAATGGACATCGCCGACCTACTGTACGAATGCGCCCAACAGAACATAACCGTTCACTTCCTGAAAGTGAAATCGCACACAGGCCTTGATGGTAATGACAAAGCTGACAAAGGAGCAACATCTGTCGCACGAGGTGAGAACCCAGCAACATTTACTGAAAAGGCCGACAATGCCCCGTTCGATAAAGTGTTCTGGCTGAAACAACGCGACA